AAAGTGGGGGATCTTTTGCAAGGTTGTACGCAATATCTTACCTGCTGCAGACAGTTTTTTGAATGATCTYAGTTTGGAGAAATGTTTTATTTCTGACTAAAATAATAAGCTAGTGGCTATTCTGAGAGGTGTCTAGGATCAGGGGTGGGCAATCCTGGTCCTTGAGGGCCACAGCCCTGCGTGTTTTTGTTTCTCGGCTCCAACACACCTGATTTGAATGAATGGGTGGTTATCAGGCTTCTGCAGAACTTGGAAGATAATTCAGTGACTGAATCAGGTCTGCTGGAACAGGGAAACAAGTAAAACATGCAGGACTGCAGCCCTCAAGGACCAGGATTGCCCAYCCCCGGCCTAGACCTTAGTGAAATGCTGCCACTTTACATCAGCTCCAAACTCAAACATTAGATCATAACATTATAAAATTAGATCACGGACACACGATTTTATGAACCTTTACACTCAGTTTTGCATTAAACAGTTATTCTGTCATAAACATGATGAAAAATCTTTGTGCGTGCTCCAGGTTGGAGTGTAAATGTTACAGCTGCTGTCATTTTGTTTGTTTGCAAATACCTATGGACATCTATGTAAACAATGATGTACTTTTAAACTGACAGATATGACCGTCTATATAACATTTGCAGGAATTGCTGAAAAAATATTTGAGATTGGGTCTTGTTCAAACTAGAAATTAGCTCTTCAGTCTAGTCAGAAATAAACTTATTTTTTTCCAAACTGGGTTGGATCAAAGAACTATCTGCAACAGGTAAGATATTAATTGTTTACAAAATTTAGAGCCCCACTTCTAATACAGTAAATTTTGACTGTCGTAGCATCCATTTTTCCTGCTACACATGAGTATGTGCAACAATATGATGTTTTTTAGAATTAAAAACATTTAACCCTGGAGAAGTCAGGACTTCTGGTAGGTCGGTCTCCCCTCCTCTTCCTCACCCCTCATTGTAAAGTGTTCAGTCACTGCTTCTGTTTTGTCTTGTTGGACTTCTATAAAAAAAAAAGTCATCAAGCATACGAAGGCAGCATTTGTTGCTCTAAAATAGAGCACTTTTCTGTACAAACACTGCCATTACAAAAGTATAAAATATGAGCCCACATTACCACAGAATCTGGGTTTTGGACTTTCTGTCAGTAACAGGGATGAATGGTTCATTTTTCATTCTGCGTGGCACAAAACCTCCATTCCTTTCAAAATAAATCTGGAATACTGATTGGTCTGACTACACTACATGTTTCCAGATGTCTTAAATTATTTAACAATATCCTCTGATCTTTATATGAGAACCGCTGTTCCCTGAACGACTTTGGTCTTTTTACACATTTATCACATTTTTACAGCATCTGCCAACAGTTACATTTAACTCACACTTTGAGCATTTTATAAATTTATTTTAATCTCTTACTTTAAATACAATTTTTAAAGTGTTTTTTTTTGTTCTGTCCAAGGTTTTTCTTTTTATACACCAACAGAAAGCTCTTTTTTTTTTGTCTAAGGATGAGACCTAACTGGGACAAAAATCTCAAATGTAGTCGCAGAACAGTTTATCTTAATAAAGAGAGTGAGTCAAGGGAGTTTCGTCCTCAGTAATTAGGGTCTGGATTGTTGTGATGAAGAAGAGTGGGCAAAGTCCTTGATTTACTGGCTTATCTTAAGTCCAACCCTCACCTGTGGTCATGAGATCGATCAGAAGCAAAAGAACAGRCTCACACAAGTGACTGAAATAAGCTGCAGGCTGACCTGGGCTCAGAGCTCCTCTGCATCAAAACGAGTCAGCTGAGGTGGTTCTGGCATCTGATTAGGAAACCCTCTGAGTAGAACTAGAACTCAGTGGAAAGAGTGTTTGGGATCCCCCAGGAGGAGATGAAGATGGATGTTTTTGTTCCCTCCCGAACCCGTTTCCTTTGCAACCTGACCGTGGATAAGTAGTCTCTCTTACAAATAGATTTTAGCATAAAAGAGTCAGACAATTTGATTTATTGTATCAGTACAAAAAAGAATAAAAAATGTGGTATCTCTGGTCCAAAAAGATACACAAAATAAAAGCTTCTGATAAATAAGTTTTGAATCATTTTATGATCAGTAATCAGCAGTACTGTTGAGCATCTCTTTGGAASTGCTCCACAGCAGTGACCGTCTCCGAATCACAGAATAAAGTGTTCAACAGAATCCCATTTCCTTGTTTCCTTGTAACATGGAGTTACTTTTCCAGTGCCGGTGATGGGAAACCAAGCTTAGCTACAGGAAGTGTTTAGCAGCATATTGCCTTCTTCTTCAGTCAGTTAGCAGCTTWTTATCTGTGTGGGTTCCTTTCAGCTCAGTGTTGGAGTTTCACCTGCTGTTTTTCCGCTCTGTTTCCGCTCTGCTTCTCTGGGTTTTGTGTGCATGTTTAACGTTACGCTCATAAACTTTAGGCTCAGCTTGGCGCTTTGTTTGTCCTTGCGACACATGGAGCCRTCTCTCTGGAGCCGAATGCATTTTTCAAAGGAACACTGCTGCCAGTGTTGCATAAAAAAAATCCACTGTACTCCTGCATGTTTTTTGGGGGGGATGACATAGGAGGCATGTTTGAATAATAATAATAAAAAAAAAAACTCACAAAAATCCTGCAGAGTGAGCCTAAAACCCCCTGCTGTGTTACAGCAAAYAACTTTACTGTAAAGATTTTGAAACATTTTAAGTTATAAAAAACAAGAAGAAAATTTGAAATCCTTGTGTTTTATTAGAAAAATTGGGGGGGGGGGGATCATTGTTTGATTTTAAAATATATAAGAACAAACACTTTAAATCAGGGAGATATTGTGTTTTGTAATAGCTTAATACTACATGAAACACACCCTATTACTGTGCATGTGATACTAACTAATCACATTCAAAGTAAAATATATACCTCCATGTTTTAAGATAAGTTTAAATACAAAGGTGTGTGTTAGCCTAAAAATGCCATGGTTATTTTGCATAAAAGAAAATTATTAACATAAAACAGAACTTTGAAGTAAAAAAAAGTATTTAAAAAAGTCTAATTAAACAAATATATGACCCCCTACCTCCACAGACCCATGGGTTGCGACCCAATAGTTGAAGACTTCAGCTTTTAATGTTCATTAGCAAACATTTGTTTTAGATTATTATTCAGTTTTAAGAGCCAACCTTTTTTATATTCGGTTAAAGAAAACTTCAGTAAAGGATAGAGACATTTTCTCAGTGAAGTTTCTGACACATCTCACCTGAGACTGCTCAGATACCTGCAAAATATCAGAATAAAATATGAATTAGTGGCACAATGATAATTCTACTTAGTCTTAATATTTGTTTGAATATAGCAAATATACACTTATTTGTTTCTTTCTATTTTTCTCAGAATCTAYAACTGATTAGTTATTTTAAAGTAAAATAAAGCTGACCAGAGTGTGAAGACTGAGTAGATTTTTTTGTCTCTTTTAGGAAAATGATGCACATTCAAAATTCATGTGTCCYCTTTTTGAAACCCCAATTTTACTTAATAATTTAGGCTGAAAATGTAAATCTGACCCTCCCACTGTGAAAATAGATGTAAGTTAATAAATAATTCCCAAAGCTGCATGGGACGTAAGTTTTCTCTGCCAAATAGATTTAAAGAACCAAAATCAACTTATAGGTGGAAAAGATTTTGAAAAAAAAAAAAACCTACATCAGCAGGTATCAGAAGCATTTTTATTTATTTATTTGAAAAAGCAGGCCAACGTTAAGGTGCAGTCAGTCAGTCAGTCAGTCAGTCAGTCAGTCAGTCAGTCAGTCAGTCAGTCAGTCAGTCAGTCWRTCAATCATTCAAAAAATAGGTACTTTTTCAGCAATCGTCAGTTTTCCCAGCAGGGCTGCAGGGACTTGGTGCCTGGTTTTATTAGTCTAATCTTTACAAAATAAAGATAATACTTTTTAGAATCAGTGAATTAAAAAAATCCATCTCTCAGCTGTTAAGAAATAGACAACAGAATTTATTTAAAAATGGTTAAAAAACAGTTCCATTGCAAAGGATTTTTTCTACGACTTCATAGATCCAAGACCTTTACTGTGGGATGTGCATTTTCTCGTTCATTAAGGTGAAGAAAGTTTAGGTTCTTACATGGTTTAACTCACCAAGACGATCCAATAAGCTCCACAGAAGTTGAGGTATTTTCGAGATGAAGGTTCATTGATGAGTCATCAGCATAACAGTGAAATGGAAGCATATTAAGAAAAAAAGATATGGTTATTTTTTGATTAAACTTTTAGTGCCGGTGCCTATAAATGTTCTTTTATTTTCCTGTTTACTCTGTGTAAACAACACTATAATGTAAATAACAAACCATAATTTTGTGTGTGAATCACAGGCAGTATTTCCTCCTGCTGACCCCCCTCCTGCCTCTGTCATGTTCAGCTCCTTCCAGCAGTTTGAGTAATGAAAGCAGAGGCCTCACCCGACTTAAGTCCCCTGCATCAAAGAAAAAATATGCCCTTTCTTACTTTGTCCACTTCTGTGCTGGCGGCGGCCCAGCACTCTGCGTGAACAGGGATTAAACTTTATTATTGTATCTCTGCTTTGAACCTCACTAGGTGGTGCCAGAGGGTGTGAACTAATGGAATGCCAAAGTCATCTGGTGCCTTTTTCTTTTCTGTTTTTTTTTTTCCTAAGTCTGTTTGYTCGCTGAAGGTTTGTTGGGCACGAGCAAATGCACTTTTAAGCAACACCCAGCTTTTCAACCACACATGTGGTTAGAGCCGTCACACCTACAAGCTGTCAACTGCAGGGACACATTCCTGTTGGGAATGTAACAAACGCAGAGAGGAGGGAGTTGCTGTTTTGTCACTTGGAAGCCTTTTGGCCTGGCATAACTCCAGTTACAAGCCTGCTGCTGTGATCCCCGCGTGCTGCTTCGACAACCTGGGACCTGGCCGAGGAAAGCACTCTGAAAAACCCCTGCCAGGGAAAAAAAAACGATCAAGTTGTGTGTACTGTAGTGTTTTATTAATATCCTCTGTACTCTCACTGCAGTTGCATGTATTTTTTTAACATTTCAGATGGGCACAGACTTACATCATGTCCAGACAGCCATGCTCAGGAGATAGATTTTGCAGGCCTGACTATTATTTGTTTAATTGAAAAATTAATTTTTTTATCAGGTGTTCTGTGATGAAGTTGTGCTTTGCATGCGTCACTCAAACAGCTCTACCTGTCCTGTCCTAACAAGCTAAGGCAGCAAAACTCTTCGTTTCACCTGGAGGTTAGCTCAGGTGACCATGAGGTTTTTCAGTTCTTGAATGTTGCAGGAGTTTGCGATGTAGTTTTGTGTTCCGGCAGCTTCAGACACGACAAACATGGATACTCGTCCAGACAGCTGTTCAGGTCGTGTATTAAAGTTTTCCAAAGGCTCTTTTTACCATAGATGAGGACCATGGCGGTGACAGTGGTGTAGAGTGATGTGATGAAGAACGTGAAGCCTATAGACGTGTTACGGTTCACCACGAACTGGTAGTTCGCATAAAGGTCGACCACAAAGTAGACGATGAAGTTGGCCACGAGAAGCAGGGACATCTGGATGACCCTCATCTGAGAGCCGAGTTTCGGCGGGTGGGTGCCGTTGTTGCTGGCTTTCATGTGGCGGAGGTGGAGGAGCAGGTGGACRGAGATGGAGATGCAGCACTTCAGCATGATAAGCCCGGGCACCACGTCCGACAGGAGCAAGAAAAGAACATCGTAGAACTCCGCCGAGCTAGTTTTGGGCAGCAAAACCCCGCAGTCCTCCCTGCCCAGTCCGCTTGTCGTGTAGTTTTTGGCGTGAAACAGCACCGTCATGGGCACGCAGAAGGCCAGGCCGCACATCGGGATGAGGAAAACGGCCAGCTTCACGTGTTTGAGGATGGCGGCTTGGATCTGCGTGTAGCAGTGGTTGGGCGTGCTGACCAGCTTGGTGCTGTAGTAGAACGTCAGGAAGCTGGTGTCCCAGACGATGGTGAACTTGAAGCTGAAGATGATCAGCAGCAGGGTTGTGTAGAACACCTGGGCGACGTAGCACGTGCTGTCCACCTCACTCATGGTCATCCAGAAGTAACACACCAGCTGGAAGGTCACGTCGGCCACAGCCAGGGCCAGGACGATCGTCTCGCTGGGACTCCTCACCTTTTTGTCCTTCTTGTTCCACAGGCTCAACAGAAACATGTAGACATTAAAGAAGACGGTCGTGACGGCCACCAGGCCCGTCAGCACCCAGAGGGTCAGTTTACTCAGCCCGAAAATCATCTTCACCCCTAACACATCTGCGGAGGGAACCTCCAAGGAGATTTCCTCAAACCCGGCAGTCTGTGTGGCGGCTCCGCTCGTGTTCTGCTGGGTTCAAAGAGACGACAGGAAAAAAAAGCAGAAGCATTAAGAATGCTCACTTCAAACCAGACGATTCATCATATTTGTGTGGCATAATAAAATCAGTCACAGTTTGTCAGAAGGGCCTGCGGAAAAGATTCTCACATTTAGCTTTTGATTTACGGAAAACAGACACAAATGTGCTCAATTAAGGTTTTCTTATGTGGTTGACAGTATTTGGGAGTATGTGTGAAACTGAAATAAATGGTTGTGTGAAAAATGAAGCTTTAAATGTTTTATTAGTGTTTTTTTTTTTACCTGCAATGAAGATCCTTTTGATTCAGATGAGGCTTTTTTCTCTTCTGAAGGTATCTGATTAGCTTGTCTTTGCCTGTCAGTTGCTATCAGAATAAATAATTTAAGTGAAGAGTCCTTTGTTTTGTTCTGTTGAGTTTTAATCACCACCTGGAGTCAGGAGTGCAGGGCAAGCCCTTTGGTTCAAGCGTTTCCTAACTGGGATTTATATTTAGGAGCTGGATTTGCATCGTGTCTTCCCACAGGCAGTGGTGAAGCAGTATTTGCATTGACAAAGGTTGGACAGGATGGACGCTTCCTAAAAGTATTCAGGGACTTTACTGTATTCCTGTCAGTGCTGCGTGACARCTCATCCAGTCCAGTCTGCCACACGCCGCATGCAAATATAATTATTCCTGCAGCCACGCCACACATTTACAAACACCAGACCAGAAGAACATCCATTTACCTGATAAGAAAAGCAAATCACCTTGAAATCACCTTATGAAACATCACACTGGTGTGACTTTGTGGAACGACTAACAGAAAGATGCTGAAGAATATTTCAGCTACATTCTTGTTTACTTGGAATAATAAGAGACAAGAAATCAGATCCAAACATGAATTTTATCTATAGAAAATTGCCACATCTGCGAGCTTATCTTTTCTTTTCAAAACCAAAACAACTATTCTCCTTAATTTCTATATCTTGTCAAAAAAATAAAATAAAATAAAATAAGAACTGATGAAACCCTGCGGTAAACACAGTCTAGCTCCATCGTGTTTATGCTGACATCGACTTCAACATGAGAGCGTGGAGCATTTTTCCAAACTAATATGGCTTTAATAAGTCTGAGTATTTCTCAGATCTCTGCAGTCAGTTTTGGTGTTTTCAAAAAACTGTGCGCTAACCTTTTCACTTTTTCACTCTGAAAAGGACATTTTAAAGTGAAAAACTTACAGAGAATCAATATCTGACCTGTTTTAGATGTAAACAAAGTCAATTTGGAGAAACAGAATTTACACATGGCAGGTGAAATAACAGCTGAACGCCAAATAAGTGGGTATTTACAAACAACTCAAAGGTTTTTGTTTTGCTAGATAAATAGCAGCAGCAGCTAGCTGTATCACCTCTATTGAAATCTGGGCTCCAGCATAATTTCTATATCATTTCAGCTCAACAACTGTGTAAGGAGAATTAACAAAATGGCAACGATAGAGACTGTGATGAAAAAAAAACTAATTTGTTTTAGATTGGCTGCAATCTGCTTTTGAGGTAGTTAAACCTAAGCTGTWTTGACAAAATAATAATGTCCTATCCTCACTGCTGTCCTAAAACATAACATTGGCAGCACGACGGCTCAAYGGTTAGCACTGATGCCTCACAGAAAGAGAGCCCTGGCTTTGATCTCCAGTTTGGACTTTCCTGTACAGTTTCCATGTTCTCCTCGTGTTTGCACGGTTTCCTCSCACAAACTAAAAACAAGCATGTTAGGTCTTGACCCAGGCCTCCCTTGYATAAGAGATCTGTGAGCTCCATGGGATTTGCCTGGTTGAATAAAGGTCAATGTAATAGTAATAAAAATAAATATTTATATATAAACAACTTTAATCTTCAAAATTCCTGAGTTTTAAACCTTCAAATACAGTAGTCTTTTTTGACAGTAATTTCAGCAGAAGTGTTACTGCTGGCTGCTGCTGCAACTCTATGCTTTTGCAGATAATTTCAGTGTTCTGTTTAATTAACGATTTTGTGAAACTGATGGAGGACTAAATGTTTAGAAAACAGTATRAGCCTAAATCATCTTTAATTTTTGAAGATTGGACTTTAGTCTAAGCCAAGCTTTGATTAGCTGTTAGCTCATCAGTCCTGTCAACCTGCAAATCAAAKACCTCTGACTCGAACCCTGGAGTCTATAACCCCATCATAGGACCAGCTTCTCTGTCAGCTGGTTCCAGAACAGGTTTCAGGTCTTATTCCGTCCATGTAAACAACAACAACAACAACAACAACAACAACAACAACAACAACAACAACAACAACCAAACAACAACACATTTTATTTGGAGGCGCCTTTCATGGCACTCAAGGACACCGTACAATTTAAATACAATGCAATAAAAGAAAATGAATAAAGCAAATAATAAAATAACAACAAGACATCATAGTTTAC